CGTGGAAAAATCCAAAATAAGAGTAGGATAAAGAAATAAGTATGTGAAAAATTGTTATTGTATAAATCCACTATTATCTTCTTTCTTTCATTTTTAGAACTTTTAAGAAATTGAAACACTGTGCTCAAAATATCATGTTTAATGGACTCAATAACTCAGGATAAGTTTGCATGTGGTGCAATGTACAAGCATAAAGTTGTAGATAATCAAGATCTTCAAACAATAGGTGTAAATATTTTTTTTTTTTTTGCTCTACAAAGAGGAAACGTCAGTCCTTCTTGGGAGCCAGACAATAAATATCAATGGATAACAGATAGAAATATCAACATTTTAAAGCATAAACTCAGCAATAATGATCTTCCATTCCTCACTAGAATGAACTGCTTTAAAAGAGATTATATTTTTGTAGCTGTCTTCAGGTCTTTCGTGCATTTACAGCAAGAGAATAGCATTTCCCAGAAGTAGTGGATTTGTGCAATAACAAGATCAAATGACATAGACTGGGTTTACAATAAATGGAAGTTCCATTATAAGATTCCTTTGGGTTTGATGGTTTGTTATATTGTAGTATTAAGCATTATTGTTGTTTCACGCACACGCATGTGCAAGCACACGCACACGCACACGCACACACACGCAACACACACACACACAACACACACACACACAACACACACACACACACACACACACACACACACACACACACACACACACACACACACACACACACACACACACACACACACATACATACATAATTTTAATAATACATAGATAAATGTAAGATTGGTTTATTGGGATAAGGAGTGAGGTTTTCTTGCAGTTACTCGCATCCCAAGGAGCTTGTTCTCCCATATTATTTTTTTCTTTTATTTGTCATACTCACTGGCCCTTCTTTGACTTACTAAAGTATAGTCTCATCATAAACAAGCATAATACAATTAATTAATGCTCATAGATCTGCATAATAATACAAAAGCTTTTAGATATATAGTTGCATGGAAAAAGAACCACAGCTTTTCACAAAAGATGTAGTTTGTGGAGTAGGTGGGACTTTTGCATTGAAACTGCTCCCAGTACGGAACATGTGAGTGGCTGCAAGGCACGCCTAATTCTTGGTATTGTGATAAAGGTTGTTTGTTTATGAAATCCTCTAAAGCTTAAATGTAAGAATCCAATATAATTGTTATCATTATTGACATTTTTAATTGTGTGTGTGTGTGTGTGTGTGTGTGTGTGTGTGTGTGTGTGTGTGTGTGTGTGTGTGTGTGTGTGTGTGTGTGTGTGTGTGTCTGTGTGTGCGTGTGTGTGCACACCTGCATGCTTGTCTGTGTACTTGCATGTGTGTATAAATGCATATGCGTTTGAGTGTGTATGTTTGCATATGTGTGTGCATTTCTTTGGTACATGTGAGTGTGTGTGTGTTGGTGTGTGCATGCATATGTATGTGTGTGTGCATACTTGCATGTATGCATGCATGTGTGCCTGTTTGTGTGTGTACCTGTGCATATGCTGTGGATGTGGATGAGTTTGTAAAGTATGTATTTATCTGCATACTTGTGTATCTCTGTGCACTTTGCTGATGTTTATGTATATTATGCAAGTCAGTTGGTAAAATTATGGCAGAATCTTCATTATTTTCTAAAGTGCATATTTGTACATACTCTTTGTCAAAGTATTTTTGTATAGAAGCCTATGAATTTTATTTTGTTACATATGATTGATCAGTAAATTTATCATTGGTGGAGAACCATTGAGGTTGTGGATTAGGAAATAAGCTTATACAATTGGCACAATACTTCTTCCGTAGAGTTGTGATGAAGTGCATATTGGGGAAATTTGCAGGATTTGTTCTCATCTTTTTAATAAGAATTAATAAATTGTTTTTGGAAGTCACATTATTATTATTATTTTTTTTTTTAAATTGATAGTTGAAGCATATTTTAAAGATCCTTTTTCTTATTTCTGTACATGCAGTTAAAGTATGGGAGTTTATGGAACAAAATATATGAGCCAATATATGCAATTTTTCATATATGTGGGTTCCAGATTGATATAACAATTATGAAGTATTCTGATGTGATCATATTTCATAATTGACTATGGTATTTATAGAAATTGTTTAGTTATGAGAAATAATGAAATTATTTTAAATTATTAATTGTTATTGTAATCTTTATTATGAAGGATTTTATTCCCATGCGCTGAAATACTTTTAACCACAGTGACTAAAATAATCAAATATCATTATAATATATGAACTTAGTGATGCAAATGGATGCAGATGAGTGTATTTCATGGTGTGCATGATTGCTTGGAATATACCTATTAATTCCTTTTTACACAGTTAGATATTTACTTCAGACCTATTTAGCTAACATGAAGAAAGTCATTATAGTTTTTTTATTATCTTACAGTTAGATATTTTTTGTCAATAGCTTTATTACACAGATGCCTGAGCACACAATAAACCAGTCGAGCAGGCCTTCAGCTCAAA